CATCAAACAAAAACAAGAAATAGCTACTTAATGTCAAAACCTCGCGCATACCCACTATTGAACCAGTTGCAACAAATCTGAATCAATTTCTTTCGTTTTTCAAAAAAGTTTTTAAAAACGTTTCTAGAACTTTTCGTTTTCATTTTCACACACATATTTGAATTCTTATTAAACCACTTTTAATTTTTTCAAAAACATTTTTCAGGTTTTTGTACATTTTTTGAATTGAAATAGTCCCTTTCCCAAGTCAATTACCACTTCCTAACCAGGTAGGATGAATTTTAACCTTAATTAACTCTCACTTGAACTTTATGAAACATTTTTAACAAAGAAGAATTGCTAAATCTAGTAAAAAAACTTAATCTTAACTTTTTTAAATGTCCAAAACGAGCATTAACTGTTTTACTAGAAGGTACAGTACTTTTTTTAAAAGACTTTCATCAAGCAAATTTTGTTTCTTAAATCCAGCGAGAAAAAAAACCATGATAAAGTCAAAACTTGTGACCACAACGCCAGCTCAAGCCAAATTACGACCCAAGAAATACATTAACTGAAGGATAAACTAATTTTTAACAACCATCTAATCTAATGACAATTGATGACAAAAAAACAACTAATCGACAAATAGTTCGTCCAAGACGAAAAAAAAGTTTTATACCAGCAAGAGTCATACCCAGTATGAGGTCACCAACAGAACCATCAACTTCCTCATTACAGTAATCAGGAACTATATCAAAAACTCCGACCCTTTCAACCCCGAATCACACTAGAATGTTTCCATTTCTAGCCCGACATCAGCCCAACCGAGAGATAATCAAGTCTATCTCCCAAAAACTTCGTAGTTTGTCCCATATTGAGCACCCTATCGTTCTCCGCCAAATCCAGTTAACGACCCACCTGAAATTTCACCAAAAAACATCCTCATTAGAAAGTTTCTATCTTCAACATCTTCAACATCAAACACACCACAGTTCAATACGTTAATACCAATAACACCACAAATTTTGAATAAGAAATATCAAGAACTACAATGGGTCATTTTTATAGCACCTCCCCCATTAGTCAGACAACACTCAGATAGCACTTGATTTCACTCAGGTAGCACCTTGAGTTGCGCTATACAATGTTAACACGACAAACCCGATTTTCTCCAAGATATACAAAACCGTAAACTACAACTATTGGCTCAACGAAATTTGTTCATAAAACTTGAGATATCAATCAAAATAACAAACTATACTTATGTTCTTTTTCGACTATATCCTGACATAAAAGTACAATCTCCAAATCTCCATTTATTTGCACCAAAGTTTTATTTAAATATGTCAGTTTTACGCAGAAATCAAGTGGCTATCTATCCTTCTTTAATCCATCTCAGATTTATCATATACATGAGTCTTGTAATAGTTGTAGTACCAAAAAAACTTCATCTACTAGCAAAATTAAAAACATTACCTAGTGATAATCCCTTGCCACATACAGTACTACCTGATCATTTAGTATTTTACTATCATTGCGAAGACAACCATCAAAAACACTAAATAATCAAATATAAATCAGGTTACACATTGTGAAACAGAACCATAGGCAAAAGAAATCACAACTGTAATTGCAACATTATATTCAAAAGCTCGCGCTACAATACTTCCAGGCTGGAAGTTTACCGGAAATTTTTCTTATAGGAGAGTTTATTGCTCACACTATCAATCTGGAAAACTTGGTAAACCTTAGAAAAAAAAGATATTATGAAAATTCATTAGGTTTTCACATTTTTCAAGACTCAAATCGTGAACAGTCTCTGAAACATAATCAGGTTCACACAAGACAAGATGACTGTCATCATCGCCATGGTGCTCAAGGACATTTTGTCTATGATGTTCATGACAAAAATGGATATCTCACAATTGAATCCATCGAAGGATAAATGCAGCATTAAAACAAAGGATTTCAAGTAAAAAGGGTTCTTGATTGGAAAATACACCCAAACAAGTTCAACTCACACTAGATTTAAAAGATTACGCAAAAAAATTTCAAAGCATTCACTTACCAAGTGAAAAGATCAAGGATGTAGAAACGATACCTTAATATCAAGTATATCCAAGAATATGAAAATCAGAAAAAAAATCCTAAAGAAATATTCCAAGGATGAAAACAAATTATAAGGTTTTCAAGCGCACTAAAATCAGTACACGAAGTTAAATATACAAAACCACTAATCAAAACACAAGATTCAATACTTTTTCATCAGTGTATGAAAACGGATTTTATACGAAAAGAGGAAATCTCATTATTCATCAAGCAGCAACAAATAGAAACTGCGAAGGTGAAAAGTGTGATATAACTGTTACTTTAACGAACAAGAATAACCAACAAACAAGGGGAAAACTCTTCTCTGGAATCTTTGATAACAGACGCCTGCAAGAAAAATCACTAAAAAACCACGCATATTTTGGATCAATACACAAAAACATACACACATATATAAAGCTTGAGTACAAGATTAGCAGAACTTTTTAAGAAAAATCACTTTGAGAACATAAAACACTTCATCACTTCTGTGAGCTCGGACGATCAAAAACACTACAGCCATTAGCATAGGCCTTATCATAAATCCCTAGTGCAGGATGTGTTCTCTCCGGAAACGCTCAAATTTTATAAAACATCCTTTGGTACGAAACTAGGATAAGCGTTATATAGTTTTCCAGATAAACGCTGCTCAAGATGAGCCTTTTCCCTGAAAAACAAAATTCTTTTTGCAGACCCACTTTCAAAAAGAATTTGTTTATGGAATAACGCCGTCAAATGGGGATCAAAAATAGCCCCAACCTAGTACAACTAAATCACAAAGAAGATAAAAAATTATCTCACCACACACTATCGTACACCAATGCAACCACATAAGAAGTTTTCACCAGAATGTTTTCTTGCAATAGCCAGACATCTAAATATTAACCTACAATCAATAAAAATTTACTGGAAACCAGATATACAAATCACAGCAGAAGATAACAATTTTGAGAACTTCGCACCAAAATGGATGCAATTCAACGACAAATTATAGATCGAAACTTAAGGAAAAAATGACAAAATTTCAGAATTCTCAGATTTTTACGCATAAATTTACAGAAGATGTTCAAAGAAATTAAGGACTACATCTACCTCAACGGAGAAAATTATCAACCTTAAGCTTTCAATCCTCAAACGCCAACTCACATCAATCAAGGACCTCATCTCGTCTCCCCTACCAAAATTGAATTCCCTTTTTTCCATCTATTCATCAAGATCATCCCACATGCAACATGCGACTCCACGCAAACTGCTTTTAACACTCGAATTTTTTAAACAAAACTACGCCATCGACACTCCAAACAGATTCCCGGCCATGCTCTACTACAAACTTTTGGCAACCACCTTTACCCTCATTACTCTTCCAGTTCCGGTAATCATCCTCTCATCTAACGCATCCTATGCAAATGTTACTCTCATTCTTTGACCAGTTTTAAGCCATATTGACAATCCCGTAATCGACAATCAGCTTGACACGATTTGAATAACTTCAAGTAACATTAGCAGCTATAACACAATAATAAAACTCCACTCACTATACAACAGTTGAGCCAATTCGCCTCCCCCTCTGATACATGTTCGATTCGCCCCAACCCGAGGTCAACGTATGGTCATGAAACGAAAATATCCATTTATTCCTCACAGATACCCAGTCAACCTCTCTTCCACGTCCCGAAATCACCGAAGTAATCATGACAGACACATAAATACACTTGAAAACGTACTAGAACCAGTCCCAGTTTTCCCACAGAACTGCTTCGACAAGAAAAAACTACAAAACCGACGAGATATTTATGTAGATGAAATGTCTATAGTCCCCAAACGCTCTCGGAGCATACTACTTAGAAAGTCAAATGTTTACTTATGCAATTCAAATAAAGGATTTCATTTCATTAACGTTGATTTGTCACAATTACTCAACCGCTACCTTGCACGCAAGTCCAATCAATTCGCCATATCCTACTGCGATCAGTCCATTGATACATGGAAGATTCACCATACAACACCGACCCTCGCGTAAACTCATAACTAACAGAAAAAATTTCACCATAAACTGTTTTTTTTTATTTAGTGTTAATTTTCTGCTTGTTTTGAAAAAAAAGTACTGACGTTAAAAAAATTGTAGGCATATTAGACAGTCGTAGTAAGAGATGCCAGCTGGACAAAGTTTTTTTTTCATAGAAACAAAAACTGAAAAAGCAAAAAAAAATGAAAAAAAAAATTCAAAAACTTTGAAGAAATTTTTTGAATTTATTAAGTTTTGTTTCCCAAAATTAAGCTGAAAACTCCAAAATTGATATTTAATTGTCTACGTTTGAAACCAGCTATCAAAACCTTGAAGCTTTAGCGCACATCAGAAACTGTCTTCCTCAAAAATTATATTTACTGCTCAGCTTTATCAGAAAGCACCAGTGGTCATAAACAAGATAACATGGATTGAAGAGTTCCGAGACCAAAGTATGTAGGGATTCTGCAACAGCTCATGTTTAGCAAACCCATGTCTTACTATTTAACTGTGGTTTCCACAGACTGTTGCGGAATCCGCCAATATTGGTTAACTTGGCCGTTTTTTCTTCAAAGACAATTAGCTATTTTCATTTTTAAAAAAAGTTTCTTTTTCTTTTCAACCACTGATGTAATTGAACTTTTAAAATTAGGAGATAGCAGTTGTCTAAAAACTGGATCAGATTGAACGGTTAAAAAGCAGCAGAGTTCAGAAGCTAGAGGACAGCGTATTAAAATCATGAGATCAAATATTTACCATAAATAGAAGAAAAGTGTAAAAAAGTACAAAGAATGGTAAAATCATATGATTTGGTGAAAGAAAACGTTCAAACTTATGACACTTCTTGTGCGCTTTCTCTATCACTGATTTTGTTATGTTTTACATATATTTAAAACAATTGTACAAAAATCTCAGCTCGGCACAGTTGAGCATCACCAGACTGAGTTTTAAAGAACACAGTTTTTTCAATCAAGTAACTAACCAGTTTTGAAAGAACTTTTCAATAGAGGTCTGTTAAAAGTACGAAAAGTAGTTAGCGTATTTGTATTATCATGCAAATTAACTAGCTCTGATTTGATAAAGTAAAAATTGAAAAGTGCTCGCGTTTACTTTACTTTTCTCTATCAACGATGTAATAATTTTTAAATGTAAACGTGTCATTTTAGCTTCTTAAAGAAAAAACATAGAATAAATTGTTTTTATTCGAGATATTAAAAAGCGTACTAAACAGTTTTCGTTTCACGGGTTAATATCAAGCTGACATTTGATTTCATTTTATCTCACATCTGCACATCTCGAAGTTGCCAACAAAAAACAAGTGAGTTGCAAATTATCTACTTATTTGAAAAAAAAAAATACGACTGATTAGTTTTGATGCTTGACATAGAGATATATTGACTTGGGAAAAGAAAAATTATGTGTATAACCAAGAAAAACAGCTCCATAAAAATCTGTAACCAGGATTTTGCTGGAATCCAAATTGATAAAATAAGGAAAACACTTTTATCATGGTAGACAGCCCAGAAAGAAGGTTCCTTTTGACAGATTTTAAATAAAAAAAGGTTTTGATCATTTTGAGTCCTTGCAAAAAATCGTATGCTTTTCTAGACGTGAGCTCCCAGTTGCGCTAGAATTCACATTAAAAGGTTTCAGACAATTTTGTAGAATTCCTAATGAAAATCCTTCAGAAATGATAGAGCCGCATATCCAATCGTTGACCCCGAGGCTCTGATTTTGGGTCGAGAGGACATGAAAACTCCGGAGAGGAAAGCCAAAAAAAAGCATTATTTGTCGAAGTTTTCCAATAAATGCCATAAATTGGAAATATGCTCTGTAAGTTTTTTGGATAACAAAAAAAGAGCAACAAATTTTTCTGAAAATTCGTCGCTCTTCTCGATAAAATCCTAAATCTTTTCTTAACTTCTTGCCTTCCCTACATGATATGCAGATGGTTCAATTTTGTTCAATTTTGTTTTAGATCGCTAAAGTATCCGTAAATTAGCCCTCAGTTGGCACTTTTTTACATCTCTAGTGGTGTTGACCGCAAAATTATTGCAAAAACCTAATTGAAAGCCAGTCTGAAACACAAACTCGCCTCGAAACCAACTTGTCGCACTCGCCTGGAATTCAACTGATCCTACACACTCAGCTGGGAACCACCTGGTCACGCAGACTCACCCTAGAATCAACTCGCCGCACACACTCGCCTGGAAACACATGGTCACACAGACTCAAGTGAGAACTAATTGGTTGTACACACTCAAATGTGAGACCAGACTGGATGCACCTACTTTTGTGAGAACCAATTGGCCGCAAAAAAATTGCCCGACATCAACTGGTGGCACAAAGTCGCCTGAGAACCAATTGGTCGCACATAGTCTCCTGAGAATGATCTGGTCACCAATCTGGTCTCCTGAGAATAAACTAGTGGCACTAGCCTGGAACCCAACTGCTCCTATACACTCTGCTGGAACCACCTGAATACGCAGACTCACCCTAGAATCAACTCGTCGCACACACTCGCCTGGAAATAACATGTTCACACAGACTCAAGTGAGACCCAACTGGACCCACCTACTTTTTTGAGAGCCAACTGGCGCAAAAAACCTGCCCGACAACAACTGGTGGCACAAAGTCACCTGAGAATCAATTGGTCGCACATATTTGCCTGAGAATGAACTGGTCGCGAATCTTGTCTGGAATCAACTGGTCGCACACAATCGCCTGAAAACCAATTGGTCCCATATACTCGTCTGAAAATCAACTAGTCACACACACACACTCGCCTGGGAACCAACTGGTCGCTAACACTTGGATGAAAACCAACTGGTCGCACACTCGACTGAGAACCAACTGTACGCACAGACTCATCTGAGAACCAACTGGTTGCAAATAGTTGCCTGAGAACGAACTAATCTCACATTGTCGCCTGAGAATCAAATGGTGGCACATATTTGCCTGAGGATCAACTGGTCGCATACCTTCGTAGGGTAACCACCTGGTCAGACAAACTCACTTGAGAACCAACTGGTCGCGCACTCTCGCCTGAGAATCAACTTGTCGCGCATACTCTTAGGGTAACCACCTGGTCACACACACACATTCGAGAATCAACTGGTCGCGGAATCTCGTCTGAGAACCAACTGGTCCCACACACTCACCTGAGAATCAACTTGTCGCACCCCCCTAGAAACCAACTCGTCCCACACACTCGCTTGATAGCCAACTGGTCGCACTCGCTCGCCTTGAAACCACCTGGTCACACACACTCACTTGAGAACCAACTGGTCGCGCACTCTTGTCTGAGAATCAACTGGTCGCCCACACTCTTAGGGTATCCACCTGGTCACACACACACACACACACACACACACACACACACACACACACACACACACACACACACACACACACATACACTTGCTTGAGAACCAACTGGTCGCACTCCCCTGGAAATCAACTGGTTCCACATACTCGCTTGAGAATCAACTATTCGCACACACTCTTAGTGTAACCACCTGGTCACACACACTCACTTGAGAACCAACTGGTCGCGCAATCTCGCCTGAAAACCAACTGGACCCATATACTCGTCTGAAAATTAACTGGTCACACACACTCGCCTGAGAACCAACTGTACGCACAGACTCAACTGAGAACCAACTGATTGCATCAATATGAGTTTGGCATGATTTATGTTTTTGTTTTCCTCTTCTTCCTGGTCAATTGATTCATATTCATCCATATACAAGGGTACTTTCAAGTTTGCTCTCCACCTTTTAGAAATGTCCAGTGCTTCGCTTCCGAATTTTTTGTCGAAATATGTGTCACTCCAAAAGTCCCATTTTTGTCTCGGCCGGGTTATTGTCATCTGGCTTTAGCGTTGCTAAACGTACTCTATACGCTTCTATAGCCGCCTTGTTGAGCTCGAATACATCGTGATCGCTCGTAATTAACTTTATGGAATGTGTCACAGGATTTCCAAACCGAAGTGGACCCTTTCTTTTGTTTTGTCTCCCACTTCGTCTGATTGTTGTTTCTGGCTCGCCTGACTCATCGGAGAAACCTGGAGGTGCATTGGTTCTCTCGTCTTCGCTTCCGTCTGCATTTTTCAGAATTGCCTCTGCTTCTTTTTGAAATCCCCGAGTTAGCACCTGTTCCGACAGCTCGTTCCAATCTTCTGTAGCTAAATCTCGACTCTGAAATGTCTCTAATATTTTAGCTGCTGAGGTTTTCCTAGTTATCTCTTGTGAATTTTCCTTCAACCTTTTCTTTGGTGTCGACGTATTGTTGTCCCGATCACTTTCGGATTGCGACACGTCCTTTGTCAGTTCCGCTGCTGCCGCAGCTTTTTGTTTTCCACTATCTTGACTAGTGATCTTTTTATCTTTCTTTTCAGCGCTTTCCCCACTTTCCGTGCTGATTCCTGGCCCGGCATTGTTTGGCTTCGCTCTCCTTACAGCCAAATTAAGTCCCCCATTCACTTTCAATTCTTTGGACGTTACGTTCTGCTGGCTGTCCTGATACCGCTCCACTGTGTCATCTAAACTTTCTTGATTTTGTAGCTCTGGCCTGTCATCCGACGTATCAACTCTTTTCTTTGAACCCCCTTTTTTTTCTTCGATTTGGACTTTGGTTCGTCTATATGTGGACTCCGCTTGGAATTTTCCTTTTTTGGGCTTGACTTCGTGCCTTTTGTATCTATTTTGGCCTGAGCAATATCGCTTTTTCTATATACTGCTCATGCAGCTGTTCTAATTGTATGACGGGTTTCCGAGACCACTTTTCCTTTTAGTGGGTTGGATAGGGCTTTACTACTTTTTCGATTTTTGTCCTTTCTTAGTAGATTTGTACTTGCTTCTAACTCTTCCGGTTTTTCCTCGATGAAACTGTATTCCCAAGAGTAAAGTAGCTCTTTTCTTAACACCGGGTTTATGGTGCTTGTTTCATCCACTATCCTGCGGATATCGTTCGCCGACGTGTCTCGTCTTTCCAAATTCCACCGTGCATTCGCCTCTAGTAGCGTTTTTAACGCTTTTACCCGGTCTCTGTTTTTAGCAGATTCTATCTCAGTTCTGAATTTTGGACTCACGTCTCTGCTATTCTGTCCCTTCTTCACAGTTTTCACAAGCACTCGCGACTGGTCGACCATCCTTTTGAGCTGCGACGCTGCCAGGGCTGATCGTTCCAGGTCTTCCTTATCTAAATGTTCAGAATTTTTAATGAATTTACCCCTTAATTTTTTGAATTCTGTTTTTGGAAGGCGACCGAAATGTGCCTCGAATGGCGAACATTTAATCGTTTTCTGTTTACACCATCTAGGTCCCTAATTATCGTACTACGAGCGAGTTTTATTGATGTGGCGTTTTCCCCCAGCAACATTACTCCTAGTCTCAGTTTTTTTGTTTGAATAGTTCTTTCAACAAGTCCGCATCCCCGGTGGTCCCCTACCGGACAGAATTTTTGTTCGATGTTATTTTCAGCACAAAACATTTTCATTGTGTTCCCTTTAAATCCTGAGAATTGATCGGTTCTTATTGATTCTGGTATTCCGTGTGTATCAATGTAAGTTCGCAGAAACTTTACTGATGACTTTCCCCCTGTTGATTTTGTTACTTTGACTGATGGAAATTTTGAATATCTATCTATAGCTGTAAGCAAGTAGATTTTTCTCCCCTTTTTATCTTCTAAAGGACCGGCATAGTCTAACTGTAGCTCTTGACCTGGCTGCGTGAGCAGTGGAAGATGTTTTGACTCATTTTTTGGTATCATATATTTTACATTCTTACCATATCGCGTACAAATACGGCATTCTTCGGCCAAATTCACAATGTCCTCATGCATGTGTGGCCACCACAGGTACTTTGATACGTCTAACATCGCTTCCTGACCTGGGTGGCCTCGGTGAATTCGTTTAAGGACTGCCGAACGTAGCTGTCCCGGAACTGCAAGTCTCCTATCCACTAATATGCAGTCGTCTACCACGGCCATCTGGTGCCAAAGGGAATTTGTATAAGGGTCCATTAGTTCGAATGAGTGGCGATCATTTCTTTCGATTACTCTTCTAAGCCGATCCATCCACGTGTCCTCCGTAGTTAACTCGGCCAGTAAGTTCCGGTCGAACAGCTTCGTCAAGTTATTCAGGTTATTGTTTTCAATGTCTTCTGCAAACCTGAATTCGTCCTTTCTGGACCTTCGTACACTCTTCTGACCCCCAACTATACTGACTTCCGTGCTTGAAGTCGAACTGTCCGCTGTAAGGTCTATCTCAATAATCTTTCGATCGCTCCCTCCTGAACTATTTTCCTGTGGGCTGAG